TTCGGGAAATGAAAGTATTAAAAAAATAGATGAAAATTTGCATATTGGTGATTCCAACTCGAATATTATGAATACAAATTTTAAGAAATAGACCTTTCTCCTTGTTTTTCTGGGAAAATATAAAAAAATAATATATTTAGGTTCACGTTTTGATTCTCATTGACTCTTGAAGGGGCTTCACGCAACCCAGTCGATTAAACAGCAGATAGCGTCTCCTCGCCAGTTTACGACGAGATACGAGAGTAGCCGCATTGAAGAGTCGGGGAGCTCAGGGGCAAAGCGCCGTTCCCTTTGAGGCGAAGGTGGCGGCGCTGTGCGCAGCTGCGGCCTCCCGCAGGCGTCGACCCAGGCCCGCCACGCCGCGGCGGCGGCGGCCGCATCAGAAATCCGTCATATTTCATTCGGCGCGGGGCGCAACCCGGCTGCGGCGTCGGGGCCCCCTCCCGCTAAAGTATTCCTCCCGCCGCCCTGTCCTCGGCTGTTTAGACTTTTGTTTTATTCATAAACCCCGCACGGCGCCCCAATAGTCGCCCCCTCCCGCATCGATCGAGGCACTGCGCCGCCCCGCCCCCGCGCCCCCCCGCCATTCAATACGCTCTAGGGGAGGGAGGGGCCCCAAAATAGCTCTCTTCCTGGCTGCGGGCTCGACGGCACGGCCGCCCGCGCCGTCCCCTGCGCCGGAGGCGCGCGGGGAGGGCGGCTTTCCTTGGGCAAAAAGGGCGGGGAAGGACTAATCTACATAGTCATATTCTGGGAATAAAAAGCGGTGACTGAAGGGAAAAAAATAGGTTTCCAAAACAGGGCTATTTTTCTCCCCGGCCTGACTTTTCAAGTGGGATATGCGGCAGCACCCTCCGCCGGAGGTCGGAGGTCAGGGCGGGGGAGGGAGAGGGAGAGGGTGGCCCGCGCTTCGATCCGCGCCTCTCCCCGCCCCCTCCACCTGAGGAGGAGGCGAATGCGACACGTTGGTCGCCAGTGCGACGCCCTCCGCCACCAGATTGTGCGACTCTCGCACAAAGTGTTGACGATGCCCTGTTGCGTGAGGAACTGTCGTTGTGGAAACAATCGTTAGACCGTTTTACTAACGTTATCTAAATCGTTTTCATTTTTAATCTAATTCGACCTTATCATGACGAGACAAAATATATTATTCGACTCCCTTTCTCTCTCTTTTACTGGTAATTTGCGTCCTCTAAAATTGCGTTTATTATATCTGCGCAGTTATTTTCAACTCAAGGGCACATTCACATTATAGAGCATGGCAATTCCTTCCAGCGAACGTCTTTGAAAAATTAGTATATTTTGTAATATTGAAAGAAATAAGTGAGTGCGCGGGTAAAAAGGGATAAGTCAAGTTTATGTCCAAAACGAGTATGCTAGAACATTGCTTTCCTACAATACTATTATAGAGTATAGGGGGTAAGTGACATTGCAGTTTTGCCATTAAGCTTTATTGACAATATTCAAATGTCACGTATCTCCGTACTCACAACAATAGTATTGTAGTGTAGCAATGTTCTGGCATACTCATTTTGGTCACAACCTTGAGTTCTTTCCTGTTACATGCGGCTCCGAAAACATTTAATTCCACGTGAACTCCCTTTATGAAGCGCTTCTATGAAATTGAAAAAGTGATCCTATAAAACTGCGTATATCATTTTGCATTAGTATTCGAATGTGACTAGTGGAAATACAGGTGGCAATCTAGGTTACTTTCCATTTTTAAAACGAACATGTTTGGTGGAGTTTGTAAAATATTTATTACGGAATTCATTTAGCCATGTTTCGTCATTGATCACAAAAGGGAATTCCTAGTGTTCGTCTGAACAAGCACATTTGTCATTTGGGAGAATACAAAATAGCCGACAGCACCTTTACGAAGTAGAATTTACCACGCATGATTTCCGAATCAAGCGCAAAAGCCCTTCCTTCTTAACACAACACACCTGCAATTTCCGCTGGCCCGAGTGCGTGTGATGGCTCACCTACCCCGCCATTTGCTTGTCGCCAGCTCCCGCCGCGCGGCGCGGCGCCGGTGGGAGGGGGCGGGGAGGGGGCGCGGACAGCGCGTGGGAGCGTGCAGGTGCTCGGGGCATTACGCCCATGAGGGGTCAGCGGCGCCCCCCCCCCTCCGCTCCGCCCCTCCGGCTCGCGCCCGGTCAAACGGCGCGGCCGGGGGATAATGACGCCCGTAAATAAGAGAAATAACGCTCGCTGGCTCGCTCGCTCGCGGTGGCTAGGTCTTGCAAGCGCCGTCTGTAATGAGGCTTACGTAGCGAGTGGGCCCACGCAGTTATCGCTGCCGTCATTGACGTCACTGGCTCCAACGGTTCCCCAGAACTTTCCAGAAAGATGCTAATCTCCAAACAAGCAACACTGGAACCGAAATAGATAAAAAAATGCTTATATTCAAAATTTATTACTATTTTCAATGGCAATGTGTGACCGTTGTCTTCAAATTATTCGATCGTTTTGTTCAGGTTCTGCGACTAAGTAGCTGGCTTAATTCTTAAAGTTAAATCGTTACAAAGATTTTCTAAATCCCAAGTAAACGATTTAATATTATTAATCAGTACATTTTGTGTATACTATTTGTTCGAAAGGTGTCAGTTCTAACACACGTAAATTATTTTACTTAAGTGTCACGTTGCGCGTCACAAATTTCAAAATGTCAGTTTCTCTCACACTTCCAGAAATTAGTAATACTTAATAGAACTAAACAATATTGTTTGCACTCCTACATTCGATCCTCGCCTCTAATTTGTCCGCATTGTTCATAGGGAAACATAGATACGGAGCACTCCATTTCTGGGAAAGATACTGAAGATGTGGGTGAGCGTGTGGAAGTTTAAAAGGACTTCTGGATGCCAGGATTGACCTATGTCATGCGCCGTAGCGTGACTCTTCCATGTCACTTTACGTGTTGTCTACGAATCGTGACGTTCTTCTGATAAAGAAAACAGCTTATCTTGAAGCTGCAGAACTCACACATGATCCGCGCTAAGCTATTGACCGAACCTTTAAATACAACATAAATTAATTTAAGAACGTAAAATGCTTGTTAAAACATCTCCATAAGAAGTTATAACAGTCTGCTTATTTTATCGAAAAACTACAATTTGTATCTTTATCAAAATACGTTTTCATGGCATTGTTTTTTGTGTGCACTCGATAAAAGAGTGTTTCTTTTCAAGCTTTGTCGTTAAAACAAGTAATGTTTTACAATAACTAATTTCCACAGTAAATTTATTAAGCGATATAACTTTTAAATCTTGCGAATGACATTTTAGACTTTGCATCATTTTCTAGTAAGTATAGTTGCGTTAAAATTGGAGTTAAAATTTATGAACTGTTACACAATCGTAACTGAATTGACGAATACATAAATTACCAATATTCCATTACCAATATGACGTTTTGCCTTCTTACACTGGGAAGTAGCAAGTTGAAATGCAATAGAAAACGGATAGAATTTCTACAAACGCCTATAATACTGAGAAGTGGTCTCTATTGGTTCTTCCTCATTGCTGCCCTCAAGTTATCGGTTCGTACTGCAAACGTTTCCACGAACGGTTGTAAGAAGTCCTTTTAACATTTCGAAGCCATCCTTCTGAGAAGTTGAAGTGAGACTGGCGCGCCGCGTGGGCCAGTGGAGCCGGTGGAGGCGGTGGAGGCGGGCGAGGCCGAGCCGCGTGCGGGGCGCGCTAAGCCCCTTGCTGAGAGCCGGATTAGCGGCGCACCGCGGAATCAATTAGTGCGCGGCAGTGACTCAGCGGGGAGCCTCGCCGCCGCCGCCGCCACGAGGGCAGCAACCCCTTCGCGCGCCCCCGCCCAATTAGACCCCGGCGCCGCCCCCGCACGCCAGCGCACTTCGCGCGGAGGATCGCAGGGGATTGGCAACGAAAGCAACTAATAACCCACCGTTCTCAACATCATTCGAGAGATGTAAAAAGATGGAAACGACGTACATTTTACCTTCTCGCGGTTCTCATCATATATCGACCACATATCGGCTGCGTCAGCTCAGTGGCATTACCATTGCCACTGAAACATAGTTTGGCCGGAAGGTCCTAGGGGGCGAATCAAGATGTTGGCGGATTTTTGTCACTAAATAGCTGGGTCGCATTCAACAACAAAACAATTCTAATGGCCGACTGTTCTGCTCAATAGTTTTTCGTAGATTATCCGGTCAATTCCAAGCGAATGTCGAGAAAGTAACTTAACAAATAAATGGCTCCGCTCAGGATAAATGCTGCAAAGTTATATTTTTTTCTTTACGTGTCATTTTTCTTGTGCAACCACAATTCAGGATATGCTAGTTTCAGTGATAAAAGTATTTGCATGAGGTGAACACACTAATGAGAGACTGTGGCCATGCTCCTTTACCTCAAAAACTGAACCACACTTTTTTTTGGGATCGCCTTCGATTTTCATTGAGTCATTCATGTGAACAACCACCATCAGGGTTCACGACCAGCTACTTCATCGCCTCGGTCGTGTTGTTTCCGTCGCCGCCTACCAACCCGCTCCCCGCCTCAGCGGACCCCGGCGCAGGCGGCACGCACCATGATTAGCCGCCCCGCCCCTCCGCCCACGCAACCCTCTCCCCCCCGAGCAATAACGCGCCGGATTCCGGCGCGCCCCTCCTCCCCCTCCTCATCCCTCTCCTTCTCCGACTGCCCCCGTGAATGTGCGCGCGCCGCCGCTGCGCAAGCGGGGAGACTGTGAGGGTGCACTTCGCCAGTGTGGAGTTATTACAGGGAGATATTGTACGCTTTCGATGTGTTTTAAGGGGGTGCCACCTGTAAGTATAAATTGTATTGTGATTGTAAGGAAAGTTTGGGCTATGGGTGTAAGAAATACATGCGTAATTTATCACTCTGATAACAATTTTAAAGAAGTTTTTGAAAACATTGAGTAAATGTTATTCGATATAATCTTCATTTACAACTGTCGATTGCAGAGGATGTATGTACTAATTGTGCGGTTTGTACTTTCAGATTATTCGCAAAGCATGCAGATTGGATACGGGATGCCCTCTGACCCGCACTCTCCTCAATCACAGGCGCATCATATGCAGCAGCAACAGTCCCAACAACAACAGCAGCAGCAACAGCAACAGCAACAACGTCAACAGGTACTGCTAACACTCGCAATATCAAATTCTAAAAGTTGAAGCGATAAATTAGAGCAAAACTCTTTGAACGTCTTTCTGAGTATTTCTTTCGCACGGATGCAAAATCTATTGTCCTTTTCCTAATTTATTCTTCCTAATCATATCGTCAAACTCGATCCAAGCCGTGGATTTTTAAGGGCAAAAAAATCATTCGTACGCCTTCCTTCGGAGAGGAAGTAATGCCGGATGTCCCATGTTAATAGATTTACTTGCATGTAAAAGATCCTCAAGCCTAAATGAAGCCTCTGAGCTAAATTCAAATCGCTTGTTCGTCGCCCAAGAAATACCTCGTTTCTCCGCTAGTTGGTGCTAGTTGGAGCGTTGCGAAATTTGCGTGGTCAGACGAAAGAGCGGGTCTGATGGCACGAGTCTCGCTACGTAAAGGAAGGCATCAATTCAATTCAATTCAATAATGTTACGAGATGTCGCATTTCTACTTGTTGATCTTAACGATGGTAGTTGTGCAGGTGAATCGTGCTGAGCAAAATCATTCCGTGAATCGTGTTGAGTGCCGTTTTTTTAATAAAGTGCTGGTTGTTTGCGCAGGTTGTTGGCGCCGCGGCGCAGGCCCAAGCGCAAGCCCAGGCCCAGGCCCAGGCCCAGGCGCCGCGTCGCGCGCCCGTGGGCGGGCGCACGGCGGGCGGCAAGCGCGCGCGCACCGCCTACACCTCGGGGCAGCTGGTGGAGCTGGAGAAGGAGTTCCTCTACAACCGCTACCTCTGCCGCCCCAGGCGCATCGAGATGGCCGCGCAGCTCGCGCTCTCCGAACGACAGATCAAAATCTGGTACGCAACCACCACTCATAATTCAGTCATAACATGGAATTCTAGCTCTTGCCTCCCAAGTGACAGAGTATCCATATTTCTATTTTCGAATGCGGGCGGAAAACCATGCGAAAGGTGTCTTTATTTTGTTTAGACACCCAGGAACTCGAAAAGAAATCGAAAAACAACGAAACTGTTTTGGTTTTAACACAAAAATTAAAATATTTAATTGGGTTATCTGCCTATTTTCATACTGCGCGTACCGACAGAATTTTGATTCCCAGTGCAACACTGCTTACGACACAGCTGACGTCATGTGACAGCATGGCTCCAAGGAAGAGGTCGCGTCCATTATTTACTTGCTGCTATCTTAAGAAACTCTGTGTTGCTCGAGCACATATCCCAATAATCTATTAGATAGGTGGCCTACAGGATGTTGGCCCCGGGTTTTGCCTAATGATGCTTCACATTAACACACAGTTTGGTATGAATGCTCACAATATTCAACGAAGTAAATAGAAAATACCAAAGATCAAGAAGTCCTATTAGATTTCATAGTGTCAAAATTCTTGGACGAGAAAAAATAGTCAAAAATAACCTCGGAGGCTAGACTGTCCGGGAGGCGCAAAATCGTAGCTGATTTGTCAATATAGTGAACCGCAATAGCGTGAGATAGCTCAGTGCTTAGGTCGGTACCCCGTATTTCGACCCACATACAGAGTTAATGAATATCCCCCCTCCCCTCCGTAACAAGCCCGCACAGTTCTACGACTTCAATTTCAATATATGCGAAAGTGTGTGAAATATTCATCATGATATTTAATTATCTTGGCTAAATAACAATGTCATGCCAGTTGTGAGGAATCGTTTTCTTTTGTAGGTTTTAGAAGCACGTCAATATTACCATTTATTAAATGTTTTCAACAATCAATATTTCTTGAAATAGTCAATACCTATTCGTCTACTATTTTTAAGCTAAAGTAAGACTTAATTTCGGGCGGAACGCGACGGAACAGCATTCCAGTACATCCGAAATAATTATTAAATTATATTATTAACGCATAACTATATCTGTTAATTAATAATTATTTTGGGGCACGTTCTGGGACCTAAAATTTTATACATCAGGCACTGATCAAATGTCCTTTGAGATACACATCTTACTAGAAAAGGAGAACGTATTAAATTACTAATACACCATTTACGCACACGTGTTACTGTATAACAGTCTTCCAACGATAAAGATTCAATCATTCTGGCAAACAAAAACAAAGTTTGTATTTTATAGCTCTTAATGGGTAATTCATAAACCGTTATATACAATATTCTGTTTTGTTCTGAGACATTGCATTCCATACATAATTTACCAAGCAAAAGCCGTAAGCTCTTTCGAAGTAATTATTCTTTTCATCAATATTTACTCTCTATTATTTATTTCACCAATATTACTCCCTATATGGACATCAGGAATAAAAGCATATTGCTGTAGTCCAATAAATTGTCTTGTGACTTATTTAATTCTTTTTTAACTGTAAAAGAAAATTAAAAGTTCGTACTAAAAAAATGGACTAAAAGTGTAATAATGAGCAAAAAATTAAACAGATGGCTAATTAATGTAGACGCGAAACATATGTCGAGATGCAAATGCCGTGTTAGTTGCACATATTGAAAGGCCTTCTCAGCAGCCCCAAGGTCCGGTGAGGAGGTTGTCCGTCCTCATTCGTCTTCGTGTGTGTGTGTCAGGTTCCAAAACCGGCGCATGAAGCACAAGAAGGAGAACCGCGCCAAAGCCGCCGCGGGCGTGAGCGTGGGGGCGGACGCCGCGGGCGGGGCCGCCCCGCAGGCCGCCGCCCACTTGCAGGACGCGTCGCCCCCGCCGCCCGCGCCGCCCGCGGCCGCCCAGCACCTTGGCGACGGGCGCGACGGCCGGCCGGCGCCTACGCGCGCGCCATCTTCAACAACAACGCCGAGGAGTTCTCGCCGTCCCTCCGAGGAGTACGCGGCGAGGCGGCCCCGCCGCTGCCTCCAGTGCGACTGCACTCGCCCCCGCCCCCGCCCGCCCACGCAGCCGCCCGCGCCGCACTACCCGCCCGTCGACGACCCAGGCAACACCCCGCCCTACTACGACCCGCAGACAGGCTACTCCTTCGCCTGCGCACCCTACCAGGCGCACCACACCTACCAGATGAGCACGCCGTACAGGTGAGGCACATCTCAGCATTTCGCGCCTCCATCAGCTTTAATCTTCGACAAGACAGACATTTATTCAACGTCGAGGTCTATTGGAATTAAAACCAGCGAAAAATACTTGCGATAATTAATATGAAATTACTCTTATCGAAATACATAAAAAAGAAATAGACCTCTGATAAATGTACTCGACACGATGACTCCAGAAATTGTTCATACTTCACCAAGCTATTATTTTGACAAGCTACATCGCTCTACAAAACTAAGTTTCAAATGAGGAGGCAAATAAACTTAATTTGAAGATATCTTTAACGGACCATCGCTTTTGAAACCCTGCGAATTAATTTCGAAACAAGCTTCCAGCGATGAGAGAAATTTGCGAGAAATTAATGTCATCAATCGTATTCAAAGCAGAGAGCAAAAAGACAAGCAAATTCGTTATTTTGGACATCGCACAAAGGTCCAACTATACTTTTAGATATACTACTTTCTTATAAGAAACTATATATTCTTCAAGTAGACATACTTATCATCCATAACTTCAACTCATTAGTTTCGATTGTTGTTGATGGACGTCGAAATAAAAAAACCCTTAACGGATGCTAACCGATAAGAGCGGATTTTGGTTCCTCTGCTTAACTCGATATAACTGTATAACGAAAACGAATTAAAAGGTCATTGTCGGAATTATAATTTCGTTGGAGAGTACGTAACTTTTGTTCAAAACCTGAATAAAACCGTAATGCTTGTAACCCTTGGAAAACATCTGACACAAACGCTTATTTAAAAAGAATATATTCGCATTTTGAAATTGCCAAGTCAAATAAATGATCTTGACTTCAAGTTGTATTTTCCGTGATGTTTCAGTTACCAAGACACAGTGATAGGCCACCCCAGTCACTATCACGACGTAACTTCCGGTGGGTCCTATTCGATTGTTCCGAAGACAGAAGATCTGGATTTCATCCCTCCGCTCTCCCTCAACCCTGCATCCCCTCAGTCCCAGCACAGCAGCAGCTAACGCGCAGCACCCCGAGCGTTCGGCGCCGCCTTCGCCGCGCAGGCGGAGGCGCCGCACGCCCCTCGCCAGGTCGCAGCAGGCGTACTTCCAGAGCGCGGCGGCGTGCAGGGCAGAGCAGCGGTCCCGGGCGCCGATCGGCACGGGAGCCGCTCCTGGAGAAGGGCGGCGCCCCCCGCCCACGACGCGCTCTACTGGCCTCCGCCGCACCACGCCCCCGCCACCCCGCGCGCTTCCCGCGCCGTCGCCGCCCAGCTCACGCAGCTGTGAACGCGCCCCCGCCCCCCCCCACCTGCTCGAGAACCCTTAGTTCCTCAGGCTTGGTGGATGTGATTAATTCAACTAAGTCAAAAGAAGAGCTTTTCATGGAAATCGCGTATTCGCCGGCTTGTTTCGTAAACGTGCTGTTGCGTTTCTTAGTGACACGAATTAAGTTTTCGCTAACATAAGGTGTTCACTTCATATTTCGCAATAAGGATTTGAGATAAATCCTGCAAGACCTCTCTTGAAAACAGTTCAGGGTAAAAATGGGATCTTAACTAAAATATTCAGGTGGATTCCCAGTCACACGATTTTAGTGAGAAAGTTGTGGTTATTGCCAGAAAGTCGACTATTATTTTCTCAGGTACTGTTGAAATCGTTAATTGGACTAAGGTAACCGAAGAGTTTTTCAGGGAAATAATCTACAGTGAAATCTGAGTTACCATCGCAGTTATAATTCAATTCCTTGAAGAGTATTCTGATTTATTGCTTGGTAAGCTGCTGGCTGTGATGGTCTTAATGATTGCGGAATATTTTTCTTGCATCTAAGAAGAATCCAATATTATGTTGAGAAATATGAATTATGCAATCAAAACTTCTATAGTTATACAATTGTGCATATTGAGAAGAACTGCAAACATGGTGTACATTTGGGTCTACTTCTGGAAGCATTTCTCCAAAAGAAATTGAAAAAATTACATTTTATTTTTCTATTGCAAAAAAACTGATTTTAATGAAGGTTTCTGTTACTAAAAGTTCATTAGTTTCGTTGTTTAAGGTTTTATAAAATATCTTACAATGTATAGCTTCGACACTATTTTAATTATAATGCTATTTTGTTGATCTCAAGATATTATTTCGGAGTGAACAAGTGCAACACTTGTTCTTCTTTTAATGCCAAATTTCACTGCTGTAATGATACCCTCGCAAACATTCTACAGTAACATTTTCAGAAAATGAATCAGTAATATTAATGAATCAAAATTTATTTTAAGAGACTCAACAGGTCGGCAACATTTGTAGTTATGATACAACATTCCGGCTTCAACTTTAAACATGCTTTATCGTGAACCCAATTTTTACTTTAATATATAATAACTTTTAAAGTAAAATACACGCTGTGCAATTATGAAAAAATGTTAATCTTTTATTAATAGAAATCTAAATCTCGTATCATAAGCCGAGAAAATATTTTTTCTCACATTTTATTTAATACTGTCCGTCGTGGACAAAACGTACAGGGTATTAGAAAATAGTTTTGTAGTTTTAATGCTTGTTTGTTCTTAGTAAGAAATTTGAATTAGTAAGCACCAATAATAATTTACAAGCTTTACCTTTTAAGTGTAATAAATGTTCATGTTCAATCTTACAAGTTGTATATTATTATAATTTTATATTATATAATTATACGTCTGGTTCATCTGGACAGAAAATTAATTTCTTTCAATTTGTAATGATACCTCATTACTCCTCTTGCCTCCGTAGATTTATCATTTTCATCCTTTATCTATAAACGAAAAGCACGATGTGGAGCATGTGAATGTACAATATTAATAAATGTTGATTGATTTTCAACAAATAAAGTAACAACAACAAAATTGCTTCTTGTGAAGTATAGCTCTTCAAGATGCACAGTATTTGAATTGACTTACAACGATATAAATAATTTGCATGAATCAGTAACTGGAAACTGTAGTTCTGCTGAACTTTCAGGTATTTTAGATCTTGTACCACCGAACCCTCAGGTCAAAAGTGCTTTTCCTTTGCAAAGTCAAAGCTGCGTTAAAAAGTACTTATCACGGACTTTGTTCTTGGAATCATAATTCATAAGCTGCAGTGCACAAACAACGTATCTCAATTTCCTGCAACATCGTGCTCTACACCAGAGGCAGGCGCATTGTTCGACCACCCCTGCGCAGCAACTAGGAGCGAGCGGGCCACCCCGTGAAATTCTATTGTGCGGTATGCACACGCGCGTTTCTTCAGATAAGGGCGGCGCGAGTGCGCCCTTCGCAGCAGCCTCCTGGGCAGGCTCCTTCGCCGCCCCCGGCCCTGCGCTGCATCGCGGCCGCTTTCACACGTCTTCACACTGGCGCGATCCCCTTTCCGCACCGCTTCCACTGCCCCCTGCGCTCCCGCTTCCCCCTCTCCCCCTTCGCTGTCAGCCCCAGCGCTGCCGTCGCCAGCCGCCGCAGTCTCCTCCGGCGCCGCCGCCGGGACATTCCGGCCTTTTTTCACCTTGAATGCGTCACGAAGGGGATGCCCGGGGCGCGCGGGGCGGAGGGGATTAGGGCCGATCCCCGAGCCGGAAGCCCGCCTCGAGCGGAGGGTAAGGCCCCGCGGAGCGGCGCCCCCTCCGCCCCGCCCCGCCCTCCCACCCGCGCCGCCCGCGCGGCTCGCGATTTCCATTCTCCAGCATCCATCTTTTCGGCCCGCCAGACAGATTTCTGACAGCCGGCGGCGCCCGGGTTGGCGCGCGCGCCGGACGGCGAAGGGCGCCGAGACGAGGCGAGGCTCGAGGAGCGCATGCAAATCCGGGCGGGTGACGCACGGATCAGCGGCGGCGAAACCGGCGACGTCGAGGCGGTGGCGCGGATGGCAAAGGGCGAGTGGATGCGGGCCCGGCGCTCGCGAAGGCAGCGCTGGGGTTGGAGACAACGTCAAGAACAAGACGGGAACGGCGGGCTGCGATCGCGAGAAGGACGGTGTCGGTAGGGCACTGGAATTGCATCCAGCGCAGTCGAGACGAAGGCAAGCCGTCCCTGTTAGCAGGGCAGAGAGTCCCGGTCGGCGGAAGTGGCAACGAGAGCGGGCGGCGGAGACGGCGGGGCCGGGCGGGCGGAGCGATCGGCAGTGCCCTCCGCTGCTCTGTGACAGCCGCCGTCCGCCGCCCATTAATGCACCCCCCCCCCATCGCCACCGGACTTAGTTATTGCTGCCTCGCTGCCTCTCGATGGTTTATTTACTAGTACCTTCCACACTCAGATTACAGGTCTCACGCACACACGGGTTACAGATCTACCGTAAACTGTAGATTCGCACACTTCTCAGTTAGGTTCACGATGAGACTAAGAAAGCATTCTTACTATTTCGTTTAATTGCGTGCACTTGAAATTTCATGTTTTCATAATGTTGGTCGATTATAAATGATTTACCATACATCAGAGAAACTTCCTTCTTTTATCACTGCATGACAATGAATTTATTTCTAAACGAGAAGATTTTTACTTGCAGTATGAGAGATTTTACCCCATAGTATGACTTCCCAGATGAATGACAAATATTGGAGAAGACAATTCTCACTTGATTTTACGAGTGTCAATTCCCTAAAAAATAACCGAATGTTAATTTAATTCATATGTGCAATAGTACAGGGCAATCCATTACAAGCCAAGAAATAGTCTATTCCACTATACTTGAAGCTATTGTAAAAATATTCATTATCAGAAATGACAGTATCGAAAGTAGTCTGATGCTATTTTAGAATCAACTTTTACGTACACGTTCGTACATACACTAGTCTTTGTTTTAATTAAACATTACGGATGATGTGCTTTATCACTCACGTAAAGATAGAGGGTCCTTTCCGAAATATTGCACAGGAAACCTTAGTATCGATTGTGTTGCCGATTGAGTTAGGTATAGATACGAATAAGTATGTATCATTAGTGCCAAGTTCATATAATTTAAACTGGAAGAGATTTAGCAGATCCAGCACAAGAACGATCAATAATGCAAGCTGGTACTTCATGATGTGAACATTTCTGTAGCGACGAATTCCAAATCGATTAGAAGCCTGAGAGATCGCCTAGTTTATGTATGCATTTTCGTTGAGGTTATGATATTACGAATGATTAAAGAAGTGTACCTATAATGTTTGATTTTCCACCCGAAATTGTTAGAATACACATTGTTGGAGTTTCATTATTTTCGAGTTAATTAATGTAACAAATTCAAAAAAAAATTATATCTATAAGCAGTTAACTTTCCCAACAAAAATTCATCTTTTAAACAATCTATTAACATAATCGAGCTATAACATATTTTCTAAGTAATCTTTATAGAGTTCATGAAAACATGTCTTGCAAACTCACCATTCCGGTATGAAAGGAACTTTTTTTAAAAAAACTTAAGGCCGCACCAACTTCTAGGTAATTAGCGACCACTATTGCTTGTAACGGTGTGGTAACTGTAAGGATGACACGATATGATGATGATAGGGGGTGAAAGGACGAGCACAATAGAACCATGCCCTAGGCAGGACTCGAATCCGCGATCCTTCCGTCCAGATCAATACGGCACTACTGCCTTAGCGTTCTCGGCCATCCGGACCGGCGAAATAATTTTTGTTTTAAGTTTTTATTCGATGAAAGGCCTGACTTAAATACCAGTTATTTAGAAAGACTGAAATAGCGGAAAACGCAAAAGTCACGAAATACTTCGAAAATTAAACTTGACATATACATGTCTATTTTGTTCATTGTAATAGCGAATGATGTAACCAAAGTTTCCAAGATGATATCAATAAGAGGATTCGAAAGACCTATTAACGAAGTTTCGAAAATTAGAAAAGATGACGCGCTTCTGTGCACCACTGAATTAACAGTGCTGTGCAACCAGCATTTTTGGGACACGAAAGAATGAGGTGAAACTGTAGAATTACAGGCAGAAGAAAACTTAGTTTTCTGTCAACGATACAATACAACCTCAATCAAACAAGGACTTTCGTATATTACTTTCAG